CCACCATCCATCCATCCACCATCCATCCACCATCCATCCATCATCCACCATCCACTCATCCACATCCATCCATCATCGACCCACCATCCATCCATCCATTTAACTTCAATCCATCCTTCCACTCATCCACCATCCATCCACCCTCATCCATCCATCCACCCGTCCATCCCTCATCCATCCGCCACTCCAAGCCCAGCCCTCCCAGGAGCTCGTGGCTTAGGCTTGCGGCCTGGTCCTTCACTCGGGCCGGCCCTTTACATGTGACAGCACCCCTGGCCTCGGACACCCGGCAGCCCCTGGCCTTTTCCCTGCGGCGGGGCCTGCGCTAAGCTGTCGGGTAGCTCAGGCCTCAGTTTCCCCAACGTAACCTCGGGGAGCCGGGGTCGGGGGGGGGGGTAGGACGTCCCTGACGGTGGTGCTGGATAGGGAGAGGCGGAACCTTGTCAGCCACAGGATGGGCCGCGCGTCGTGGCGAGGTGGAGGCGGGGCTTCCCCGTAGGACTGCGCGTGCGCGGGGCGGGGGGGCGGAGCCATGGCTGAGGGAGGGGCTCAGGGCTTCCTCCGTGGGGTTGGGACCCCCTGCCCGCGGGCGAGACCGGGACAGTCCCCCTGCTCCCCAAATTAGCCTTTCCCGTGGGTGAGGCAGACCCCGGGGTGCAATTCCCCGCAGGTGAGGCCGTGGCTCGGCCTGGCCCTGCCAAGCTCTGGGGTCCCCGCCAGGGGAGCCGCGAGGGGCGGCGTGCCCCCCCTCTGCGCCCACCCCGGTCCCCACGCAGCGCACGCGCGCGCACGGGCGCGCGCGCACGGGCGCGCACGCACGGACGCGGGCGCGCGCTTTCCAGGTGACGCACGGGGCTCACAGCCAGGCTTGGGCCTGGGCCCAAGGCCCACACCCAGTCTAAGAACTTCATTCTATAGCCAACGGGTCTGAGGGCTTTGGGGGCTGCCCGGGGCGGGGGCTCCCTGCCACCCCCAAAGAAACAGGAATCGGCCATCAGGAGTCCCTGGAGAGCTGGGGATTCGTCCATGAGCTCTTCTGCCCCGCGCGCCCAGCTCCTCTGCGCTGCTGTCCATCGGGCCCGGGCCGCAGGGACCCTCCCCGGCCACAGCTCCACCATGCACTGCGGGCACCAAGTCTCTCCCTCCCTCTCTCTTCAAGTCTAGAGCTTGTGGACAAGACAGATATGCAGGATAGGGCTGGGAAGGTGGCTCAGTGGTAGAGCGCGTGCCTTGCATGCCTGAGGCCCTGGGTTCGATTCCTCAGTACCACAAAAGCAAAAAGCCGGAAGTGGCGCTGTGGCTCAAGTGGTAGAGCGCTAGCCTTGAGCTGAAGAGCTGAGGGACAGCGCCCAGGCCCAGAGTTCAGGCCCCACGACCGGACCCAAAAAAAAAAAAATATGGTCCATCCACGCATCCACACTCCTATCTACCCACCCCACCCATCCATCCACCTGCCCACTTGATCCACCCATCCATTCACTTAATCTACAAAACCATGTTTCTATCCACCCAACACTATCCACACACCCTCTACCCATCCATCCACCCACCCATCCATCCATCTACCCATCCACCCTTCTATCCATCTATACTTACATCCCTGCATTCTTAATCCACCAAAGCGTCTCTCTATCCATCTAACCATTCATCTACCCACTCTCTATCTACCCATCCATCCACTCATCCACCCTTCTATCCACCCACCCATCCATCCATCCATCCACCCATCCATCCATCCATCCACCCATCCATCCATCCATCCATCCATCCACCTATCCACCTTTCTGTCCATCTACTCATCCATCCATCCATCCACTTATCCTTCTATCCATTTATTCATCCATCCATCCGTCTTCCCACCCATCTACCCACGCATCTACCTACCCATCCAGGAGATCTGCATGTGCTGGTTGGGGATGGAGAGTTACTCTTTCTTTTATCCCTTTGTCTACTGCTCAGCCTGGGATGTCCAAGCAAGCTGGCTGTGCCACCGGGGACAAATTATGTAGGGGTCCTGAGACTCAGTTTCCCCACCGACAAAAGAACAGCCTTGTCCTAGACTAGCCAGACTTCACATTGGGAAAGAACATAGGGCTTGCCATTAGGAGATTTAAGGGTGGAGTGTTCGGCACAAATGGTAGAGTTTATCTAGCAGTGCGAGGCCTTTGGTTCAAACTCCAATGAAACTGAAGCTGATTTAAAATCATACTTGCACTCTCCACACAGACTCCATTTTGCCTTCTCTCACCACCACGGCTATGTAATTTTAGAGGCTCCTGAAACCACCAGGGCTCGTGATGGCCCCTGGACAGCGCTTAGGCCCGGCCCCACTTCTCCCACCCCTCCTCACCTAGGTGGTGGATCCTTCCAGATCAACTCTCTCCTGATCAGCTGCCTCCTCTGATCCAGCTCTGAACAGAAATTCAAGCTTAGAAAAGGTCTCTTTCCTTTTGAGGGAAAGATTCGGGTATGCAAACAAAGCCAGGACACGTGATAGCAGGTGTGTGTGTGTGTGTGTGTGTGTTTTCCTTCCCAGGTCCCAAGATCACTTTCACTCAGGCTGCTGGCAAAGAGGGAGTAGCAGGCCTCAGTGGGGGAGGGGCAAGGATATGGGATTTCCCAGGCAGGGGACAGCACGAGGGCTGAGCTGATCTGTGATTAAACACCAGGCTCAGGAAGTCTTGCTCTCCTGTCTTTCTTTGGCCCTCCTATTTCAAGTGCGTAGCACTGGCTTATGTATTTTTCTGTAGTCTGGCAGCTCTTTCCTGGAGGTCATGAATTCCCTGAAGTCAGGTTAGAGCTCAGGATCTGGGTGCTGCCCCTGAGTTTTTGTACTCAAGGCTGGTGCTCTACCAGTGAAACCCCACCTCCCCATCCAGCTGGTTAATTAGAGGTGAGTCAGTTGGACTCTTGCTAGAGCTGGCTTTGAACCACGATCCTCAGATCTCATCCCGCCCCTCCCCCCCCCCCCCCCCCCAGTAGCTAGGATTACAGGTGTGAGCCACCACCATCTGGCTGTTTGTCAAATTAAAAACAAATGATTTATTTTTCAGACACAGTCTCCCTACCTAGCTCAGGCTCCTCCTATAAGCCTTGAACCCATAGTCCTGCATAATAGGCAGGGGATTACAGGTGTGTGTCACTACACCAGGCTTGCTCTAAGGCAATCTTTTCTAGGTCTCTTTCCCCACCTCCAAGTCCCTTTCCTTCCATCCTTAAAAGCAAGTGAAGGTAAGACTTGCCTCAGGCCCTGTTTTCCAAGGGAGCCAGACAAGAGATTCCATCTGTGTGACCTTGAGCAATTTGCCTAACCTCTCTGGGCCTTAGATCCCTCTTGCATAAAAGGGAGTTAATTAAGAGGGCTGCAAGGTTTAAAGAGACAGCGCAGCCAGCACTGGGCTTCTAGAAACCATAGTTTGCATTAGGATCCCAGGCAACCTGGGATGGAAGAACAGAAAAACGATTCCACACTGAATTTGATGGCTAGGTGAGGTGGTGGCTCTGGCTCCGATGCTGAGCTGGTTTCTGCGGCAGTGAGTGAACTTACGGTCTAGCAGGTGAGACCAGAAAAGCAACGGGCAGGTCACCTGCAAGATGGTCAGAGGTTTCCGGTTACGTGGCCTCCCTGGGTCACCGGGGAGCGTGTCTGGGTGGACCCGAGGCTAGCATTAGGACCTCAGCTACACGCTGTCATTAAGCTAATGACAGACAGCAGAGGGCCAAGGCGTCCCCCAGGGACGTGGCCCAGGCCGTGCTGGCGCTGACGGGAAGCGTTGCAAAGCAGATACGCGTCTCACCTCCAAGGAGCAGGTGAAATGCTGGAGAGACTAAACAGGTAACAGCACCCACCCCACCTGGGCCTGGCCGAGCTGTCTGCCCGTGGGCTCCCGCGGGTGGGGCTGTTTAAAGTCACACGGATGGAAGCCATGCGGTTTCTGATCCGGGCCCTGGTCTCAGTGGCCGCAGGCTGAGGGCCCGGCTGATGTCCAGGCCTCCCCAGGCCCGGCTCCCTGGAGGAGGCGGGATTCTGAGACTCTGAGGGGAGGAGGCCTGCGCTCGGGCCTCCAGACCAGCAGAGTCGGGGCTGGCTGTGCAGCAAGGAGGAGCCAGCGGCCGCTCACCCAGGGGATAATCCCCGGGTGTGTGCTGGCTCCCAGGACTCGGGAATGCAAGGGGAGGCCGAGGGACGGGGTGTGGGGGGAGAGCCCTCCCCTCCCAGGAAGTCCCGCCCTCGCGGACCAGGAGGACGCTGGGAGTTGTAGTTTACCTCTCCCCACCCGCTCAGGGAAGAAGGGCTGGCGGCTGCGGATGCGGGTGGAGGTGGCGGGCAGGACGGGGACGCATCTGGGCTGCGCCCCCGCCCCCCCCCGCGACGTGTGTGCCGGGAGGGAGGAGGGAGGGGAGCGGCCTGTCTGCCTTGGGCACCGACTCCGTGCCCGGCCTGTCCCGGGCGCGGGGGTCGGCCGTGGGTTCGAGCCCCTTCCCGGACCCTCTCTACAGCAGCAACAAAGCACAGCAGATGACGAGCCAGGGGCCGTTACATTGTTTAGATTTGGCCCCTCGTCCCCGCCATCTCCTGCCCGGGCCCAGAGCTGGGCGCCGGCCGTGGCTGGGCGGGGGGCCGGGCCCACCGAGCCCGGGAGACCCGGCCTGGGAGGGGGGAGCGGCCGGGGACGCGCTGCCGGCCGGGCGCCGCGGCGCCCGCCTGTAGTTCCAGCCGCCCCTCCCGGCCGGGAGGGGGCGCCGGCCCCGCGCGCGCGCGCAGGCCGATCCGGATCGGAGACCCTGCGACCTCTGACCCGCAGGGGCGGCCCCGAGCCCGGCGCCCGCGGGCGGGCCGGGATCCGCGGCCGCGCTGGGTCCGGGGCCTCGGCGCGCAGGCGCCGCCCGCCGCGGTCGCCGTGGCGACGGGGCGCTTCCCGCGCGAGGCCCCGCCCCCCGCAGGCCCGGCTGCGCGCGCCGCGCGGGCAGGTGCGGCGGCGGCGGGCAGGTGGCGGCGCGGCGCGGGCGCGCGCGGCTCCGGGTAGGTGGCGGCGCGGGGGGCGGGGGCCGAGGCGGGGGGCGCGCCCGGGGGCTCGGGGTCCCCGGGTCCCCGGCCTCCGCGGCGCGGGGGGGCGGCGGCGGGCCGGGGCCGCCGAGTTCCTGGCCGGCCAGGCCCGGGGGAGGAAAGTTGGCAAAGTTGGCGGAGGAAGAGGCGGGGACCCGGCGGATCCCCGGGCGCGCGGGAGCGGGAGCCGCGGGCGTGGATCCCGGGGGGGATCCCGGCCCCCCCTCCGGCCGGGCCGCGGGGATCTGGTGGTCTGGGGCCCGGGGATCTCCGGGGATCCCGTCCTGGGCCCGTGGGGATCCCGACGTCCGTGCGGGCCGGAGACCCCGAGTGGGCGCGGGCGCCTCGCGGGCGGAGCCGGGCTCGGGGGTCCCGCCGGGGACCGGGGACCGGGGGCGGGGCGGGGCCGGGACCTCCGCCCCCCGCGCGGCCTCCGATCCCCGGCCTCCGATCCCCGGCCTCCCCTCCCCGGCCTCCGATCCCCGGCCTCCCCGCCCCGGCCTCCCCTCCCCGGCCTCCCCTCCCCGGCCCCCGGCCCCAGCCCGGCCCGGAACGGACTGAACCTGTTGCAAAGGAAAGGTTTTCTTTGAAGTTTCTCGGTGACCTTGACCATCTTTGCTGAACAAAATGGGGTGGGGCGGGGGACCCCGCCTCGGGGAGGGGGGCTGGCCGGGGGAGACCCGGGGTCCGGGGCTGTCAGCCGGGGCGCCCCGCCTCGCCTCCCCTGCCCCGCTGGGTGTTTAACTTGGCCAGCCAGCTGCCCCTCCAGGCCCCTCCTCCGGTGGAGAGGAGCCCCGGGGCGGGTAATCAGTAACCCGGGCTTTGGGAGGAGGCGCCCCGGTCCCTGGGCCAAGTTCCCCTCTGCACACCCACGGCCCCATCACCCCAGGACCCCGGCCCTTCCTTCCTTCCCTTCCCTTCCCTTTCCCTTCCCTTTCCCTTTCCCTTTCCTTTTCTTCCCTCCCTCCCTCCCTTCCAGTTGCGGGGTTGACATGGCCCTGGTCTCCTTGTTCCTTTGTTTTTTTTTGACATCCGTCTTGAAAGGAGTTGGAAGGATTTGCACGCTTCCTGCCGGTGCAGCTTCCCAGCCCAGGGTCCTTCCTGCGGTGCTGCCCAGGCTGGCAGCTTCCCCCACCCCCAAAGTTGATTGAGCAGCTACTACAGGCAATAGATGTGTGGTCCTAGTCCGTGGTACTCCAGGACCCGATCTGCCTTCCCCGGTGATGGAGGGTCTAGCTCTGGAGCGGTCCGGCTGCCCTGGCCCTGCTGTCTCCCGCTGGCTGGCTCTGATCTGGCACCTCCCCTCGGGGGCTGAGGGCGGGTCCTGCTGACCATTTGTTATCCTGTCTCCAGCTAACTCAGAGAAAGATCTGGGATTGCCTGAGATGTGTGTGCCTCCTTCCCTCCCTCCCTCCCTCCCTTCCTCCCCCCTCCCTTCCTCCCTTCTCCTCCCTCCCTTCCTCCTTCCTTCCTTCTTTCCATCGGCTATTTCAGGATGGTGGATCAAAGAGGAGGCTGGTAGCCAGTCTATAAAGGGCATGGTGTTGGTGTAGACAGGGCAGATGTGGTGGGAGTTGAGGGCTGTGTCTGCAGCTGGAGCAGGTTGGAATTCAGGGAGCTTGGTTTCCTGGACAGTGTGCTAGCTGTGGGGGGGCAGAGTTGTGCAGCATGGACCCCAAAGATGGAAGAGCTTGAGCCCACGCTGGCAGTAGGCCGGAGACATGGGGTGTTGGCCAGGAGAGGCCATGCTTAGCGATGTGGACTTTATTCCTGGGCAGTGGGGCACTGCAGAAGGCTCTCTGTGGCCCAGGCTGGTGGAGAAGGTGGGGGCTGAGGGGGTGCTGGGAGAATCTGGCGGGTTGGACTTGGAGCAGGGCCGGCAGTGGTGCGAAAGCCACTGGCGATGTGGATCTCGATCTGGCTCATTCAGAAGCTGGTATTTCATTCAGCTCCGCAGACCTGCCCTGGCGCCGCTGTATGCACACCCGTGTTGCCCACCCGGGGCCTGGGAAGTCCCTGGGGAGTGGTGGGGTGCCCTCCTCCCCTACTCACACAGCCAGGTCTCTGGAGCCCCCCGTGGGGGGCTCACTCCCAGCATGCACTCTGTGGTTATTTGGAGCCACCAGGGTGGAGGGTAGGAGAGGCAGAGGCTGGTGCAGTGGAGCCAGAGCAAACCCTGGAGGCTTCCTGGAGGAGACTTCCTGGAGGAGGCTTCCTGGAGGAGGCTTCCTGGAGGAGGTGGGCCTTCCTGATTGTGGCTCTGGGCAGGGTGCTTGTATTTAAGACTCAGCTGCCAAATATACAGAGCAGGCAGGCAGGGTGAGGAGGTGGTTGGTGGCGGATGGTGGCGGTGTGGGGCTGAGGGTCCACACGGTGGGATCACAGGTGTGTGGGGGAGGGATCACAGGTGGGGGGGGCGGCGTGACTTATTCTCGTCACCACAGCCTGTCTAGGGGGAGTGCTCCAGGCAGGGGGCACCTGGCCCAGCCTGGGTGTGTGTGTGTGTGCGTGTGTGTGTGCACCTGCACATGTGTGGGGACCAAAGGTGACACCTGAGCTGAGCCTTAAGGACAAGCCGGGGAGGGGCCAGGCGAGGGGAAGGGACAGCCGTCCCGGGGAGCCTGGCCCTGAGTGGCCGGCCCAGCCCCCAGGGCGTGTTGAGCACACGGGATTGCTGGTGTGCACCGGGATTGCTGGTGTGCACCAGGCCAGGCTTTGAGTTCAAGCCTCAGGATAGACCTATGTGCATACACACACACACACACACACACACACACACACACACACACACACACACACACACACACACACACACACACACACCCCCTAGCTGGGAGTGGAGGTGCTGGGATTTGAACCCAGAGCCTCTTGCCGCATGGAAGCCACCCCCTCCGGGCCATGCAGTCCTCTAACTCCAGTGGAGTGAGGGAGGCCGCGGCGGGCACGGTTGCCCCTCTGTCCTTTTCCCCCCTTGGGTGCCACGCATGTTTTATGGAGTGTCTTTTGCAGGCAGGCTCCGGGCTTGTGAAAATTCAGAGGCTCCCCTGGCCCCGGGACCCCCCGCCCCCGCGGGCTGCGTGGGGGGCGGGCACGCAGGCCGAGGGGGACTGGACTCTAGAGCAGGAGTTAGGGAGTCAAGTGCCCTCTGCGATGTTGTCTAGCGCGCTCCGTGGCCACTGCGAGCGGAAGTTGTGTTGCCAAAGCACGTGTGGCCTGTGACCTTCGCTGTGTTCACCTGTCACTGTCAGCGGCAGGGGACAAGCCCAGAGCCACGCCGGGTCACCAGATGCCCCCGCCCCTCCTCAGCCTGCACTCTCTTGGGCCCCAGTCTCTGTCTTGTCTGTCTGTCTGTCTTTCTCCAAGACCACACTCAGCTGATTATCTGCTAAACGTTGTACCTCTTTTCCTGCAGTGCTAGGGTTTGCACTCAGGGCTTGCGCTTTTGGCAGGCACTCTACCACTTGAGCCATCCCCTGGCTTTTTTTTTAAATCTTATTTTTGTCGGTGGAGATGGGGCTTGAACTCCGGGCCTGGGCTCTGCCCCTCAACCACTTTGTGCGCCAGGCGAGCGCTCTACTACTTTGAGGCACAGCGCCACTTCCGGTGTTTGAGTGGTTCATTGGAGATCAGAGTCTCATGGGGACTTTTCTGCCCAGGCTGGTTTTGAACCGTGATCCTCAGAGCTCAGCCTCCTGGGTAGCTAGGATGACCGGCATGAGCCACCAGTGCCGATGGCTCTTCCGGTTTTTTCTATAACTTGCGTGATATGTAGGACATGAGTTATCCCTGAGCCATTGGGGTTGGGATAAAGAGTATTGCGAGTTTCTCCAACCTGCCCAGGTCCCTGGCCCAGAGTCTCTGACTGCACCGCAGGAAAGGTGGCCGCTTCTGTCACTTCATTTTTAACCCATCCTGCCAGGGACTGAAGGGAAGCATGGCCAGCTACATAGCGCGTGCTGGAAATATTGTATCCATCGGGGATTTCTGTGCAACAAACATGTCCCTACAGCCTCAGGGATGGCTGGCACAGGACAGAGTGTTCTGACTGGCTGGCACCAGCTGGCACAAGGTGGGAACAGGTGAGGAGCTTGGAGGTAGGCTGCCTGGACTCAAATCCCAGCTCTAGCTGGGCACCAGTGGCTCTGGCTTATAACCAGCCTACAATCTGGAGGATCACAGTTTGAATCTAACCCCAGCAGAAAAGTCCATGAGACGCCCATTTCCAAATAACTGGCAAAAATCGGAGAGGGAAGCCTGGCTCAAGCGGTCGAGCACCACTCAGAGAGGTTGCATCCCTTGCTGAAAGGCACAGCGCCTGAAAGGCAGGGGTGAAGCTGGAGATGCTTCTGAGCTGACATGCTCTTCCTCTCTGCTGCCTTCCCAGTCCTGACCCAGCAACCCTGGCCCGACCCAGCCAGGCACTTGGTGGAAGCTTGGGGACTTGTGCCGGCTTGGGGCAGGTGGAATGTACTGGGGAGGGGCAATGGTCCCGGGTTGGTTTGTGGTGGGAGCTGGTTGGCTCAGGCCTGGCTTCCTGTGTGGCCTAAGCCGGCTTGCTCCACCTCTCTGTGCGGTTCGTCATCTTTCCCCTTGGAGGTGGTGGAGGCGAAGCGAGGTGCGTGGGCCGGCCGGCTCCTGTCCTGGCTGCTGAGCCCTCACAAGTTTTGGGTCATTCCCGGGGCTTGAACTCACAGCCTGCGTGCTGTCCCTGGGCTTTTTTTTTGCTCCAAGCTGGCACAAAGGATAAGCGTCTCACGGCCTTTCTGGCCGGCTTTTTTTGAACGCGGTCCTCCAGTCTCAGCCTCCTGAGTGGCTGGTGCTGCAGGCATGCTCCACCAGGCCCGGCCGCAGCTGTGTTTTCCGAGGCCTGGGCTGGGCAGGCGCCGTGCTGGCTGTCCTGCCGGCTTCTTCCGTTTTCATCCTGCTTCCTCGTGGGGTTGGCCTCTGGCCTCTGTCGTGTTTGCCTGATGTGGGTGAGGC